CAGATAAGATAAGGATAAGGTAAGATGAACTGTGGCTAGCTAGATAATCTGATGAGGGTCCCACGTTACTGCTGCTGCCGGCGGCGGTACTTCTTCCCCACGAATGTGTCCATAACAAGTGGTCTCTTTTTTTTAAGTCTTTTGCAAATTCTCTTAGCAGCACCTGCAATACATTGTTCCCCTCTTCTGTGATATATGGAATTCATTAATCCCATCCAAGGTGGGTTTGTTGCTATGGTTGGCCACATTAGAGAAATGCCTCAACAAGACTTCCCTGTAATCTAGAGGGGTACAAATAGCTGACCAGAACTGTGAACTCTATAACCAGGCTGTGGAGAGTGCTAACCACCTATTTCTGCATTGCCAGTTAGCTCATAAAATCTGGCATTATTTTCTTGGTGCTGCAAATCTGCCATGGGTTTTGCCTTGTACCCTGTTGGATCTTCTAAGGGCTTGGYACAGAACTAGTTGTTCTGCCAAGGGGAAGATCTTCTGGCAGCTTGTACCTGCAGCCATCATCTGGACAATTTGGGTGGACAGAAACAATAGAATCTTCCCCAAAGATTGAGATGTGTGGAAGAGTTGGTCAATGAAGTGATTGGCAGAATTGGTTATTGGGCATTAGTAAGGGGAATTTTCAGAGATAGTAGGGGAGTAATACTGACACTTTATTCTGGACCAATTGGAACAACAGATTCATTGCAAGTGAATGTTTGGAGGCTCAAAAAAGGTTGAAGAGGAAGGGAGTGGCAATTAAATTGGACCTGGAGAAAGCATATGATCTTGTGGATTGGGACTTTTTGATTAACATTATGAGAAGGTGTGGCTTTGGGGATTTATAATGTAAATGGATAAATGGATGCCTGCAAACAAGTCACTATTTTGTTCTAGTGAATGGCATTGCAATTGATTTCATTGAAGGGGTTAGAGGCCTTAGACAAAGAGATCCTCTCTCTCCCTTTCTATTTACTTTGGTGGCTGAGGTCTTGAGTAAGTTGATTTCAAAGGCTAACTCCATGCAATTGATTAAAGGCTGGTCAGTAGGGAGAGATAGAGTTTTGGTCTCATACTTGCAGTTTATAGATGATACTCTGATTTTCTGTGATGGGAAGAGCCGAGAAGATGTGGAAAACTTGAAGTTAGTTGTGAACTTGTTTGAAAGGATCTCCAATTTGAAAATCAATTGGTTTAAGAGTCTAGTGGCTGGTATTAATTTGGAAGAGAGTGACTTGAGAGCTTTGGCTGTTTGTTTGGGTTGTGAGACTGGAGATTGGCCTTTGTGTTATTTGGGATTGCCCCTTGGTGGAAACCCTATATCGGTTAGCTTTTGGAATCTAGCGGTAGAAAGATTTTAAAAATGATTGGCAAGTTGGAAGAAGAGTTATATTTCTTTGGGAGGGAGAATCACATTGGTCAAGTCCACCTTGGCGAATCTTCCAATCTATTACATGTCGGTTTTTAGGATGCCCCAAACTGTGATAAAAAGAATTGAGAAAATTATGAGGGATTTTTTGTGGGAGCCTGGGGAAGGGAAAAAAGATCATCTGATTAGGTGGGACATGGTGAGGCAATTGAAAGGTGAAAGGGGATTGGGAATTGGAAATGCGAAACTGAAGAATGTGGCTTTGCTGAGTAAATGGCTTTGGAGGTTCCCCAAAGCATCCATGGGTTGTCAATTAACGGCTGGGATGCGGGCTGCTTGCATAGAGCTATGTTGGCTGCTCCATGGAAGTCTATCCTTATCCATGACATTCTTCCTTTGTTTCTTCCCCACATAAGGTATGACTTGGCTTTGGGTCAGAAAATCAAATTCTTGGAGGACATATGGGTTGGCGATTCCYCCTTGTCAGAGGTCTTCCCTTCCCTCTTTACTCTTTCTAGCCTCAAAGGGAAAACCTATTAGTGATTTTATCAGCTCAATCCTCTTCTTTTTCAAACTTGAGTTGGAATTTGGGTCTTACTAGAAATCTAAGAGAATCTGAAATTTCTAGTGTCTCTGCCTTGGTTAACTTGCTGAACTCAATGGTCTTGGGGGATAGTGCTTCTGATTCTAGAGTTTGGGCTCTCAATGCTCTGTTGTGAAGTTTTCCATGGTTCCATTAACACCTGTGACCTGCTTCAGAGAAAAAGATCAAATTGGTGCTTGTTCCCCAAATTGATGCTCCTTATGTAAGCTGAGTGGTGTGACTGCCTTTCATCTCTTTATCTCCTGTCCCTTTGCTAACTTTATTTGGGAGTGGTTTTCCTTTCTGTTTGGATACAGATGGATTCCTCCTGCTAATCTGGAAGACCTTTTTAGTTCTCACACATTCAGGTGCTCTAAAAGGAGAGGCAAAGTTATGGAAAGATGCACTAGAGCAGCAGTGGCTTGGACAATTTGGGAGTTAAGATAGCTTACCTCCCTTTGTTTGTATATGTATACTTCTTCTTTAACCTTAATGGAATTCATTGTTATTGATCAAAAAAAAAAAAGGGAAGAAAGAAATATGAGGATATTTGATGATAAGGGAAGAAGCAGAGAAGCTGTGATTGAAGTGGTAACTTTAAGGGTGGCACATCGGGTGAAAACTTTAAATTCGTTTGCTGATTTTAAGACAGAAGACTTCTTCAGATCATGGGGAACAATTGCAAACACTGCCTCTAGAAGATTGATTGTAAATGAATTTTGGTTCCCTCTGGATGTTGGGCGGAAGAAACTAAATTTTGATGGTAGTTGTTTGGGAAACCCTGGCCCATCAGGTATTGGTGGGGTAATATGGGAAGAGAATGGAAATATGATAGCCATGTTCTCAGGTCCTATTCAGCATGGTGATGTGGTGAGATCAGAACTGAAGGCAGCAGTATATGGTGTTGAGAAAGCTCAAGAGCTGGGGATTAATAGGCTGATTATGGAAGGGGACTCAAAAATTGTTGTAAACTGGATGAAGAAAGGGGAAGGAGCAATCTGGAGGCTAAGGAATGAGCTCGGGCGCTTTAATCAGGTTTCTAAAGTCATGGCAATTCAAATAAGATGGATTAGAAGATCAGCTAACAGCATGGCTGATGGTCTAGCTAAGCAAGGAGTTCAAAGATAATCCATGTTCTGGGCTATGATATAGTTAGTGGAGCTTCCTTTGGGCTATTTTTGGGGCTTTTTGTATCTAGTGGCTTTGTTTGTTGGGTAATTCTTGGGTCTGTGTTGTAGTTGGTGGGTTTTCTGTGGACTTTTCATCTACCCACAGCTTCTTCTTGTACATGACTTTTTAATTTAATGAATCAATTCTGTGTTGCTGAATAAAAAAAAAAAAGAAAAACAGATATCTTGGGTCTGTGTTGTAGTTGGTGGGTTTTCTGTGGACTTTTCGTCTACCCACAACTTCTTCTTGTACATGACTTTTTAATTTAATGAATCAATTGTGTTGCTGATCAAAAAAAAAAAAAAAGAAGATAGGGGTTGAAGGTGATTCAATTTTGGTGGTGGGATGGTTAGTAAAACAAAGTGATGGTCCATGGGTTTTCAGACAGGTCATAAGGGAAATTAGAAGTTTAAGAACTGAGGTTGAGGCCACTTTCAAGTGGGTAAACAAGTTTGCGTATGCATTGGTAGATAATTTCACAAAGCAAGGGGTGACTAGGGAGCAGCTTTTTTGGGCCAAATTGTACTCTTAACTTAACCACGATATGGGATTGACTTGGACTGCTCATAAATAAGTTTCCCATACAGTCTATTCTAAAATTTAGAATACAAACTATACTTGTAGGATCTATGATAGAATAAGATCCTTTTTTTTTGTCAACTGTTAAACTTGGAAACTTCCTAAATCTTGTTCTCCATTTTCCTTACTGAGTGAGTGAATATATTCCTAACTAAAGTCAAAATGAAAATAACAAGTACTTGTAATGAACTTGGCAACTAATTATGACTACTATCTAAGGAAAAAGGATAGTTCAAGGCAGATTTTATTCTTCCATGTTCTTAAATTAGAGAGATTTTGCAAATCTTGACAACTAAGGGGCTGAGCAGATCTAATACAACCATACTACGCCAAAACTTCTTTATGCAACCATCTGCTACAATGGGGATATGAATGACATGGACCCATAGTGCCGCTTGAACAGATGTTTTCCTTTCTGTTTCTTGTGGATATGTCATGTGCAGATTCCTCTCTCTTGCACATGTTTTGAGGGCAGCTCTTTAATTCAGTTAATCAGTTAATACTTTTTACCTATAAAAATGGTGGTTTGCATTAATCCACATTTCTTCTTGGGCCATTATTATTTTTGCTTACCAGAATAGTTACATAATGGATTGCTCACTGAAATTTTATGTTCTGCACATTACAAATTACATTTTCTTCAGTTTTCTTTGTGAGCTTTGGGTGGCTGTAAATTTTATATTGTGCCATAAAATGCCATATAGAAAAGGAAGGCTTAGCAAAATAAAAGAAAAGAGGACAAAAAGGTTTTCATTTTTTGAGATATTATTTGGTATTAAAATTATTGGTTATTGATCAACTGAACTAAGCCTTGTCCCAACTATTATGGGATCAGAATCCTATACCACCATTCCACTCTGTTCAGTAATTATTGATTCCTCTTTCTTTCAAAAATCTTAAAACTTCACAGTTTTTTCTAGTTTGTAAGGATAATTATCATAGGTTTTCTCTTTTCCTGGTTAAATGTACAGAGAGCTTTCATTGGTGTTCAGCTTTTTCCTTTTGTGCAAGCTGGACTTTTTTTTATCTGATTTCTCAGTTCTTTTTGTAAATTCCCAATGTACAGGTTCTCAGTACATGGGCTGATGTAATTGGGTTTCTTTTGCAATACAATACTTTACTTTCTTCAAAAAAAAAAAAAAAAATCTTGGCCAATATTTTTCTGTACCATAGATATGGTATATTTGTGGTCAGGTTTTACCTTAGCCTTTCACTTCTACATGTTTGTCTAATAGCTGCTCTTAGTATATTACATACTCATCTTCAAAAAGAAATGTAATTTGTAATAATGGAAGAAATTTTGAACCTTTGATCATTACCCAGATAACTGAGACCAACATTGGGTAATGCCTTTTTCATGCCAATTAGCTTGACCATGTGAATTATGTCAATGCATTTGGTGTGGAAAATCATACACATCTCTAAAGAAGAAAGAAACAATTCCATATTAATTCTCCTTGATTTTCTACTTGCTTTCTGTTTGTTGTGTGTGTTAATCGGGGAAATTAAGGTTGCTGACTTGCTCTTATGGCGAGTAGTAGTTTTAGGTTCCTATGTTCCTAATACTTATTCCCCCTTTTTTGTTTTTCTTTAAGCTGTAGTATGCTTGTTTTTTTCCTCCCATTCTTTGGACTATAAATATACTCTGAAAAGATTACATGGAATGAAATGTTAACTATTTTTTTTGGGCTTTATTGTAATTTTGTTCTTGGGCATTGTTTTCTGGCTTCTGTAATTTTGGGTGACTGGACACCCCATTTACTGTAATTTGTTTTTCATATATTAATATAATTAACCTTTTTCTTACTGATCAAAAAGAAAATGTTAACTAGTTAATTTCTTTTCTTTTCAGTACTGAATCTATTAAATATCCTCTTGCAATTTGGACTTGTTTTCTTGCAGTTGTTTATCAAAAGATTCAAAACATTTATGCATAACTGTATGCATAATTTCCATCATTTACCACCTTTCTGATATCCTTCCTTGGTTTATGAGTGTCTCTTTTCAGCCATTTGGAGTTCATTGGTGCCCTTTTAGTGGATTGGCTCGAGTTCCTTCATCTTTTGAGTAAGCATGATCTGCCAGTTGTAAGCTTATATATGGTTATTTTATGCTACTATTTTTAAGATGAATGTCTGTAAACAATCCTGGTTGTAACTATCTTGTGATCAGTTCCTTGTTTTTATCATTTCTTCCTCCTTGTGCAAAAGCTTCTCCATGCTGCATGTATTATGTCTTTGCTCTTCAATCTTCATGGTAGTCTGAGTATGACTATGACATCCAATGACCATAATTACATCATCCAAATTGAATATACATTTCAACAGTTGGGCTTTTATAATGCAGTTATATTCAGGAGAAGAAAGCTTGGCCTTGTGATTTGGAGGTGCATAAGATGGGTTTTGGTGCCATTGGAGGAATTGGATTGAAATGTGTCCCTAGAGACTCATTTTCTACATTGGTTAATGGGACGTCCACAGGATTTCTTAGAAGCTAGGCATGTCAAGGAGATTCTATCATCAGATTCTTAGTTATCCTAATTACTGAAGCTTTGGATATAATGCTCATGGGATTACATTTGGTTTTTTAGTCAATTCACTATTGTGTACTTGTCCCCCATCCTCATAATATTTTGTCAAAGTGAGGTTGTTTTCAATCTTGATCTTTTTAATAAAATTCTTGATTTTTGTTATGTTGATGAAAAGGGCTATGAAGGGAGAGGGAAGATCCTCATGCTCAGCGGAGAGGCTAGCATACTCTATTTTTATTGTTTATATGGGTAGCAGATGCTGTTTGTAGTGTCCCTTGCTCTTGATTCTCTTCTGGAGTAGGGTTCCTTTGTCTTTTCTCTACTATTAGTAACCAAGCTATTTTGTTCAATGTTATTGCCAAAGAAGAAAAGACTAAGGCCTTTTTCGGAGGCTAGGAGTTCCCTCATACTGCAGCTCCTCTTTTCTATGATGCATATTCTTTTGTGCGGCCTCTGTGAAGAATTGAGATACCTAAGATGTACACTTTTTTATGATTTCATAGATAAAAGATCAATCCTAGAAAAAGTGAAGTTTTTGGGTATGGCAACATGGTCAATTTAAAAAAGTTAGGTAAATCATTATGCTCTAACATAGGCAAATCCTCAAAAACAGCTTTATTTTTCTTGGCTATGATCTTCTGGCTGACGTCAATTTGTGATTTTCTTATTCAAAGAGTTGGGAAGAATTAACAATTTGGGTGTGAGCAGGGAGGTAAGGCAGCAGTATAGGTCTACCCAAAAGACGGTAGATGGCTTGAGAGGGGGGGGGGGTAGACTTGCAGAGAGTTGTAAGGAAGCTTTAATGGAGGCTGAAGGCTTGGTCGAGTAGGGCTTACGTAAGGTCTTGGTAATGGATGCATGAGGAGAGCTTCGAATCTCCTCTAACAGAATAGGAAGTCACTTAATGGGAAAGGAGACTTTTCCCAAAGCGGAAAAGTCTGTTAGTTGGTCAGATTTGAGGCAGAGGGTTCACGAGTAGGTTTCACCATGTGTCATCATGGAGATTCTGGGATTAGGGCTCCCACCCTTTTCCTCGGGATTCACACACAAGCATGAGCTTGGCTATGGCCCTGCTTTTAGGAACCCTTCTATGCCTTAGCAAGATGAAGTGAAAAAACCAAGTCATCCTGAACCCAACCTGATTTTAATTCAACCCAAAAAAGTCAGATTGGGTTATGATTAAGGTTGACCTCAACCCGTCCTAACCCATCCTGACTTGCACCCCTATATTTAGTCCAAGCACATGAAGTAGAGCACAAATGAAGCACAACATGGTATAGAACATTAAGGTGTCTTGTCTTGCCCTTTTTCTTGTCTAAGTGAACGTCTAACATGTTTGCAAATATGGCATGGTATAAAGCTCTCCAACTCTCAACACTTTGTTGCATAGGTGCCCTATATCATCTTCACAACTATGACCTGTAACCATCTTCTTTTAGATTAAGTAGTATTTGTGTGGCATGCAACACTCCAAACTACACTTCCACTTAACATTTTGGTCTAATTTTATTAACAAAATTCTCTTCAATCTATCTCCCTTACAGATAATAATTGAATCCCATGACAGGAAATGGTTGAATTGGTATATCTTTTTGGTCATCACTTTTGATTGTTCCCTGCTTTCTGTTAATGTTTTTCCTGAAGTGTTACTTGGTATGTTCTGTATTAAATGTATAAGCCAGCTTAAAATCCAGACAATAGCATGCATGAGAGGAAGATCAGTTACTCAATTGGACCCATATTGCTCAACCATATGCTCAGATCTGTCAACACCATTGCTCTATCTCTATTATTGCCCTGGTTCTTTGCTCCCTGTTGAGTCTCCAATCATTTGTTCCATGTGTCATGCAATAGTACAAAGATTGATTGATTTTTTACTAAATAATGAATTTCATTATATGGAAAAGAGGGACAACTTCCCTCGAAGCCGAAGCATGTACAAAAGCATGATAGAGACACAACACAAGAGAGACATCAAATTCTTAAACTACATTAACAAAAAATGGGTCAAAATGACCTGATCACAGTGGTCCTTAAAGTGCTACCTTAAGACCTTCTAAAGCAGTGAAAAGGCTTACCCATCTTTTCATTATGCCTTCTACTTAATTGACCAACTACAATCCCAACTAAAGGCTTCTTATTATCAAAATTTCTTCTATTTCTCTCCCACCATAAGGGATGCGAGATAATGAGATAACACAAACTTCAGCCTCTAGTGMTGAAACCTTTGGTTTGCAAAGATGAAATCAGCATTGACAAGTACTATGGAGCCCTCCAGGCCTGCTTTGAACAGTTGTAGAAAGTGACTTGAAATCCTAGTCTACCTAGCAATGGATTAGTAGGCATTCAACTGTCTCGATATCCAAAACCGCCATATACTCGTTATCAATGATCATTCCTTTATTAATGAGATGGTCAATGGTGAGAACTCTATTCACGTCAAGAAGAAAGAAATTTTAGAAGGCATGTCTGCTCTCCTGGCGACTTGGGATCATATCCTGYCTTAACCGGGGTTTGGTCGTTTGGAGGTGTATTGGAATTTATGGGCAGGGCTATCTCTGTTGTGTAGCCAGTTAAAAAATGTCATCATCATCTAAGCCTTATTCCAACTATATAGGGTTGGCTACTTGGTTCCTGCTCCGCCATTCTATTCTGTTCAGGTGCCATATTCATAGTTAGATTTATGGACCCTTAAACTATTTCTCCCTACTTTAGATCATGTCTTTTTTGATATGCCTCTAGCTCTTTAATCCCTTCAACTTGTAACAAATTACTTCTTACTGGTACTGTAGATGGTCTCCTCTGTATGTGCCCAAACCATTATTGGAGCTGCTCCTAGGTTCCTTCAAATAAGTTCGTTTCTGATCCTATCCTCAAAATTTACATTTCTGTCACCTCCATTATACTGTTTCAAAAAAAGCGCATTTGTACTCTCAAAAGCCAGTTCCAGGGGCAAGGATCCATACCTGAAAATTCCAAACCCGCAAATAAAGAGCTGACAAAAAAACTTATCCAAACTACTTAACTTCCACAATCTCTAATCTGATGTTCTTGGATTTGTATGTGTTTGGTTGAGGTCTCCCAATAAACTGGCAAAGGAATCATCCTTGTAATCACTTGTAAACAATTAAACATGGTATTCAAACAACATTTTTGCTCAGCAGTCTTCAGTTGAAGCATTCCTAATTAGAGCCAAGTTAAGCAGGCCYGAGTATACTGAGCTTGGGGTCTATCAGTTAGCCATGCATGAACTGCCCTTTGCCCACTTTAAAAGTGATATACTGAATAAATTCATCTATTCTCTATAAGTTTGAGTCATAGGTGCACCAAACAGGTACCAATTCCAACCCCATGGAATTTTGCCCATGTTTTCTCCACAAGTTCTCTTTCCGCCTCAAATCTCCCCGGCTATTTTTGAAGCCAGGGTTTGCTCATCATCCTTGGTGTTCCACTCCTGTGCGGCCATGCCCCTTCTTTAGAGCAAGATATCCTTTTCCATGCTACAAGATGGAATCTCTTCTCATCATTTAGATCATCCCACAAAGATTCCCACCTAATCTTCTTCAAAGTATCATTTAGTCTATGCAGCTTATGATATCATGTTATTTATGTTCTAGTGTATGGAGTAAGTTCTAAAGAGGTAACAGTTAATTTTTTGAGAAAAGAGGTGATTGAGTAGTGTTCTGTCCAAAATATAGATGCCCCTTGCTGGATAGAGAAGTTGAGGAATGAATTGCTTTACTTGCAAAGCTGGAAGTATCCAAAGTTAAGAGTAGTATGCCCAATGAATGTCAGAATGAATGTTCTGATGGAAAATTTACAGCTAAATCATTATATCTGTTGCTGGTAAGAAATGTGGTTGGAAGGGACAATAGAGCAGGGTATGAGGTGACCCCATTACTCTTGAGGATTGAAGCCTCTTTGTGGTTAGTTGCATTGGTTGTATTAATTTTGTTATGGGTGGTTAGTTGCTGGGAAGAAATGTTAGTTGCATTGGTTACTCGAGGGTTTATAAGAAAAACTTTGTTATGGGCGTGTTGTATTAATTTTGGTATTAATAAGTATTATTTGGTAAAATTTCTTCAATGTTGATGTTATCTTCTTTTCTTTAATAAAGTTTTCTTCTTACCACAAACTAGTATCAACCATTGAGGCAGACATTACAAACAAGGGTAGGAAGTAGACTGGAAGATTTGAGAGTGCACAATAACTCTCCTTTGAGAGATAAGCCCCAACTGTCGTGTAAATTTGTGTCCTTTAGAGGTGGCCTTTGGCTTCAATGAAAAAAAAACCCTAGAGGTGGTGGCCCCAGAGGAAAATGAACAAATATCTGAAGAAAAAGCATGTCTTAATGGTGAACCCTAGTAAAATAAAATGGAGTAATCCACAAACTGAAAAAGAGCAATTGAAGGGCTATATTCACATACCTTAAACCCCTCTATCCATCTTCCCTGTTCAGCCTGTTTCACCAAGTAGCTTATAGCTTCACCCTGCCTCAATTCCTTTTGCTGTGCAAAATAAGCTTCTGGTGATCCATTTGCCAAGATTGAGAACATAGGTGTTGATATATACCAGAAAGATGATTGGTTTTATATTGTTTATTTATTATTGGATCAGTAAAAGAAGGATTAATTTTGGTATATCAAGTTGTTTACAAATTGCAATGACATGGGGACCTGCTACACAAAAAATGAATCCAGTTGCTCATTGGATCTCCATGCTTGATAGAATTTGGCAACCTTGGTTTGAGAACTTGATCTGGATGGACCAAGAGTCCCTGTAGTTGTGGGGGGGGGGGGGTCAAAGGCTACAAATTGATTAGTTCTCGCTTCATAGAGATCGTTCTGCATTGGACCACATAATTTTATAACTGGGCTTCTCGCCCATAAAACAGAGCTTTCTCTGATTAGATGAGTAAAGTGAGTTAGGAAGTACCTTAGGCTGATGAAGTGATTTAGTGCTTCTCATTTTCCAGCAATTGGAGTCCTAATCGTGAATAATTTTTTTATTTTTTGATCAGCAACAGAAAAATTAATTCATTGATTTAGACTAGAAAGATACAACAAGTGGTTGTGAAAAAGAAAAACATCAAACCCAAAAAGCCATCCCGAATTTAGATATGAGCCCAAAACATGTTTGTCTCTGAATTCCTTGTTTAGCTAGGCCATCTGCCATGCTGTTTGCAGATCTTCTAATCCATCTTATTTGGATGAGCATATCTCCAGAAAGTTGTTTGAAGCGTCTGAATTCATTCCTTAGCTGCCAAATTACCCCTTCCTCCTCTTTCAGCCAGCCCACAACTATGTTTGAATCCCCTTCAATGATTAGTCTCTCAATCCCCATTTCTTTAGCCTTCACCCCATAAACTGCTGCCAATGATTCTGATCTCACCACATCACCTTGCTGAAAGGATCTGAATACAATGCTAGGATGTTTCCATTTTCTTCTCTAATTACCCCACTAATTCCCGATGGGCCAGGATTGCCCATACAGCTACGATCAAAATTTAATTTCTTCCACCCAGCACATGGGGGTGACCAGACCTAGCATTCCTGGACTTTTTAACTTTCAATGTACACTCGAGGCATGATAAGCTTTAGTTTTATGTGATCTACCCTCTAGTTCAATTAGAAAATGATTTAGCAATTTTGGTGGTAATTACACCTTTCTTCATTGAATGTGCACGTTAGTGTTTTAAAAGCACAAGGAGAAAGCATGGCATGTGGCTTTTTAAAGCAAGGCACAAAAATGCAAAATAAAATATTAATTAAAGATATAATTTTAAATTTTAAAATAAATGTTTAAACAAGACTGTTATCTTCAATTAAAATACATAAACATAACAATGTAAAACATATTCCAAATGAGAATTTAAAAATAAAATCAAACATAACATATAAAACATATTTTTTTTTTGGTATTTGGTGCTATGCACCATTAACAACCTGACCCCTTTTCCCCAAAGTGCTGGTTGCGGGATTTGATTCCGCGTCAATGCTGGAAAAAACCAGCTAACACACCAACGAGTCAGCCCTCGGTTGGTATAACATATAAAACATATTCAAGCATGTAAAACTTTCAAGCTCTATATTATTTTCCCAATTGCATTATTTCATATAGCTAATGTGATGTTAAACATTTTGCATTCTTGATTCTATGAGCTGCCTTTTGTACCAAGCTCCTTGGGGCCAATTGGGAAGCCCTTTACATGGACTTATTTGGGCTTGCTCGATGAACTTGGTAGGGAGGCCTAGGGCTTTGCCCCTAGACCAGCTGCCTTTTGAAAAGAAACAAATGCGCAAATTTTGAAAAGGCACACACCTTTTGAAGGTGCTCTGCCTGGGGCCTAGGGGAGGCACATACCTTAAATGTGCCTTGCCTGTGCACCTGCGGCATGCCTTTTAAATCACTGGCAGTACCTATACACAACTTTTAGTTTTCTCAATGTTTTAGAAGTGCAAGGCGCAGAAAAATCGCAAGGGCCATTTTGTGCCCGAGCTGCAAGGCGCAAGGTGAGGCGTACGCCTTTTTGAAGCAAGGTGCAAAAATGCAAAAAAAAAAAGCCAATAAAATTCAAAAAACTGCAAAATGAAAATTTTGCTAAAACAAACATCATGTACTGACTACTGAGGGGTAGCCCAGTTGGTGTGCTGTATGAATTGTCCCAGTGGTGGTGTGGTTACGAATCCCGCTATTATCATCTCTGTAAGAAAAGAGCTGTTGATGTGATGTTGTACTGTTCGCTTAAAAGAGTAATGACCCCTATGGGGGTGTCAGACAGTGATTAATACAAAAAAAAAAAATCAAGCATAATTCCAAATTGCTAATGTAAACTCTTAATGCCTTTAAATTTAAAAATAAAATCAAGCATAACATATAAAACATATTCAAGCATGTAAACTCTTAATCTCTTTATTTTCTTCCCAATTACATTACTTTAAATAGCTAATGTGATGTCTTCAAATAGCTCTGAAAACCCCATATTTGCTAATGCTGCTCATTCATTCAACCTAATAAAAGATATTTATAAAAGACACTTAAAAACCTTTTTTTTTATAGGGATTATGAATTTAAGACCTTGATATGGACTTGTTTGGGCTTTGCCTCAAGGGGCTTGGTTGGGGGTCCAGGAGCAGATCCCTGGCCCGGCTGCTAAACACAAAAAACAGAAAGAATTACAGATTTTCAGAAGGTGCATGCCTGGGCTGAAGCGCAAGGCGTACCAGGCGTGCACCTTTTGAAAATGCTGCTTTCATATTGAGGCTGTAAAACAAAGTTCAAGCATAATCAGGGAACCACTTGTGGGGTGACATGATATTAAACACCTTGCTACCTTAGGTTTCACATGTGGTGTCACTATTTTTAACATAGTATAATATTTTTTTGAATAAGGCAGATCAAAATAACAAATTTCAGTATCAATTTTAAGATGTTGGTTTGAAACAACTGGCCTTGAACTGAAACAAACTGAACTGCAACCACTTGCTGAATTAGAAAGGTATCTGTTATTGCTGGTTCTCTGACATTTTGATGTGTTCTAAAATTTGCAGGGAGGGGGAATCTCCATCCACTGCATGTAAGTTACTCCCTCTTTTAGTGAACCAGCAATTATTTATTCAATTTTATTTACAAACTCAGTTGTGACCTCATCTAAATATCACAATAAATTTCTTCTAATGCAGATCATGACCTATTGGGACACCATGCTATCTTTGCTGATCACACCGCTGCATCATCTGCTGCTGCCCATTCATGCCCATATGTTGCCTACTTCCAACCGCTTCAACCCTCTACCTCAAGCTCTAATGAGAGCATAGGTGATGGTCCTAATTTCAATCATCACTGGAATAGCCTCTCTGGGCCCAGTGATATGTCTGTTTCTCATGGTCTTCCAACTGTGGATATTCAGTACCACAGCTGGGATCACCATTCCCCTCCCTTCTCTCCAACTAGCAGTCGCATGGCTGGTGCTGATCAAGCTTCAGTTCATTCTTCAACTCTGAGATCTACAAGGGGTGACACTGAAGGCCTGCCAAGGTCAGGATCTTTTGTGCACCCATTCCTTCTTGGTCATGGGTAAGTGTTGACAGTTGAAAATAAAAAAGGTCTCATTTGAGTTTCCTTTTGCTACTAGGAAGTATGATAACAGAATGGCTTAGAGGTACTCTATTTAATGACCTAGAATTACAGCATGAATAGCAAAATAGCAGAACAGCTTCCTTTTGTTTGGAAGAATTCTTATGCTGCCTGAAAGTACTTTCTATATTATGCCTCACTGAAATCAGTACCCCTTTTTTTGGAGTTTTCATTACAGAGCACTTTCCCAAGGCTTATTATATCCCCTACCCCAAATGCGTTTTTCTTAATAGACTACATGTATCATCCCTTTTATGCTTCAAAATTTTAACATTGCATGTACCTTCATTGCAGGTCAGGTCCCAGAGCTGGGAGCTCGGTTGTTTCTTTGATTCCTCCTTATTCTGGCAGCAGTGCTAGGGCTCATGATAGGGTACAGGGTCTCCATGCATACCATCAACAGCAGCAGTCTAGCAGCACACCAGGCATGCGTGGACCCATCTTTTCAGGTGTTAGGAGATCCAGTGGCCCAAGGGGCTTGGCTCCTGTGGGACCCCTGGCCTCATCCTCTGATCATACAGGTGCCTTCTATGTCTTTCCACCTTCGGGGTCATCTAGCCGGAACCTCCAAGAAGCAGAGAATCCAGTAAGGAGTCGTTTTTATGCATGGGAAAGGGATCGATTTGCTCCATTCCCATTGATCCCTGTAGACAGAGAGTCGAGTTGGTGGGGGCCATTCCATCAGGCTGCTGGTGGGTCAGATTCTGGCAGCAGGACTAGTAGCTTTTGGCAGAGGCATGGATCTGAGAGGTCTTCACAAGGTCGGGCAGAGAATTCTTCCTATCAGCCAGTTCATCCCACTGGTCGGATGTTCCCTTTCATATAAAGTGCATCCTCCAATGACTGAACCAAAATATATATGAGAAAATGATATAATGCTCCTGGAGTGAGTCTGTAAATCCACCAGACTTTAATCTTGTAGTGTGGCCCCGAAAACAGAAAACTAAACTATCCTTTGGCTGTCACACTGCTGTGTCGTGACATTTTGGCTTCCTCGGATCTTTTTTTTTTTGCCCGGAGGATATGAAATAAACTATGTTGTGGAGTGGCAAAAATAGAGGTCCTGTGTTTGCTGTCCTGAGACCCCAAAATTATAAGATGCATCGTATGACAAGAACAATCAATGCTAATGCCCCTGTCCTGTTCCGAACTTGGTCAGAGAAGGCACCTGGAGGCTGGTAAGTACTGAAAACAGTGCCTAGGTGGGTGGTATTGGTATAGAGCCTCATAGTTATGGGTCGCTAATATTTGTTTTGCATGTTATTTACATTTTCGAGGGTGGATTTTAAATTCTCGGCTGCGTTTGTTTGCTGTGTAAATGCCAATCGACGTAAAACTCTACTACCGTTCTTACTTGTCTGCATTTGTTTTCAGTGTAAATATGGATTCCACTTCAATCCGTATTTTAATGCGTTTGTTTCCAGTGTAAGGTTTTCATCGAAAATTGCCTATTAGTTGAATTTTCCATCGATAATCAATATAAAAAATACATTAATTTTGATTATCACACTTGAAAAAGGTTCCAACGGTTCACTTTATTTTAAATCCGTCAGTATTGAATCCTATCGATGTATTTTTACATTGATGAAGTTTACACCCAAAACAAATGCAGCCGGAAGGTTGGATTCCAAAACTTACGTCCAACACAGGATGTACTGTAAACTCCTGATCTTACCAAAAAAAGAAAAAAGAAAACACAGGTTGTATTGGTATGGTGGTGTGTATAGGCGGTTTGTATACTAAATATTTGGGGTTCATTTGATTTGTAGTCAGAATTGGAATCAAAATCCATGGAATTGGAACTGGAATGGTTTATCCTTGGGAATCCAATTCTTATATCCAGTCCAAGATCCTTAACGCTCCAGATGAACTTGTAAAATTTTCAAAAAAAGCTGGAGCGCATATCATGCCTTTTGGGTGTTGCGTTCATAACCCAAGTTGAGCTTTTTGAATTTTGAAAGTTTCCATCCATCGAATTTTCATTCCGAACCTGCATATTAACACTTAGGTGCCCTTATATTAAAAATGGCGCATAAAAATCATATTAACTGCAAGGATTCGAGCCTAGTTTGCATATTTGACAATTTTGCATATTTAATCATGGTTTTTAAAACCGAACCGGTGACCGAACCAGTCAGGGTTCCGGTTACTGGTTCGAGCGGTCCGACTGTTCGACTCGAACGGCCAACCTGTTTTGACAAAAAGAATAAAAATAAAAGAAATAAAAAATTGAAAAATGGTCAAAACCGTTCGAATGGTTAATCAGCCGGTTCAGTGGTTTGCTGACCAAAATCAACGGTTTTGAGAAAAAACCGAATCGGTCAGGTGACCAGTTCCCGGTTTTGAAAACCATGTATTTAACATTAAGGCTCGGTTTGGAAAGAGTACAAATGCAAATATGTACAGCGTAAATGCATACAAAATATAAGGTTTTGCACTCTACACATTTGCATTTGTACTCCTTTCAAACTCAGCCCAAGTGTCAACCAGGAGATTTCAAAATAAAGAAAATAATTAATATATCACTAAAATTAATGTTTGTAACATTAATGACATTTAAAAAATAAATAATCATTAAAATTATTATTTTTAAGTGTTAATGAGTTGGTTTGTTAAGGTTTGTGTAAATTTCAATTCTTCAACCATTTCTCAGCATTTTTAAGCACATGATATTTTACAATTCATATAAATAAACTATTGATAAATAACACCATATTCCTTACCACATTTATGATTCTGGTTTATTAATCAGTTGTCTTTCCGAAATCATATCTTTTTCGTATCATAGTCGAACCCTTCTATACAACAGACCCTTGAATGTAATGCTGTGCACGTATATGAAGGTTTCTTGAGTTACTTATGTATTTATACATGTCATGATCATTACACCATATTCATACTTATCCGAATATATATGCACCCTGAAATTACCTTGTTGCAGGATTTAATGAAATTCAAATTATAAAGATTAGAGATTTTTATGGTTGTACTGGATTCTGAAAATTGGCATTAGAATCCATATTTTTGAGAAATATGTTAAAAACAAGTTTTTCTTTTCTCATAGGCAAACGGAATGAACAAAGTTTGGGTAGAAAGAATATATGCGTATCTTTTCTTTTCTTGCCAATATTTAAGAGGGAGAGGAACCATAAGTTTTTGGCCCAGAAAAAAAAAAAAAAACAAAACATTGTCGTAGTAAACTTAGGGTCCATTGGGTCATGGGAATAGGGGTTTGAATCCAACTGTTTGGTTGGATAGAATTGGATCCCATTCCCATTCTTGGGGAATGGCATTCTCTACCCTCCCTTGGGAAGGAACTTCCATTTCAACTGATTTCAATTCCCATTCTGATTTTTGTCTGAATCCAACTGTATTTCATTTCTGATTCCTGACTGCCAGCTAAATATACCATGAATGTTCAGAAAATTTACTGAATAAAGTTAAAGATCCTTTCCATAATTAACAAGTAGGTTGGAATTTTAAGGAGCATGAGTTTTACTACATAATGCCCTAATAGTGAATTCTCAGTTGCACGAAGAAAAGGAAAAACAAGTTACTGTCAATAATAGGATTTGGCCCTTGTAGATACCCTATTTTTGCGTTCTTTAGTCTTTTTGTAGTACTTTGAGCTTCAAGCATGTTTCAGCTAACCTCACGGTTGACCTGGGGGTATTTTTGGAATTTTACAAAAGTTGGGGCCTCAAGTATTCAAAACCATAGGTATGTAGAGCCCAAAACACCAAACCCAATGACACTAAGATCGCCAAAGTCCGATACCGTTTACCCTTTCATCCTGAGACCCGAAGCCAAAACCGATTCCAATCGTCTAATCGGAGTCATTTTAATCCTAATCCTCATTTCACATCAAATCCAAAATCCGAGACCATAGGTACATAGAGCAAAAAAATCCAAATCCAACGACACCAAGATCACTCGAGTCCGATCAGAGTCATTTTGATCCCAATGCTCATTTCACATAAAATCCAAAATCTGAGATCATAGGTATGTAGAGCCCAAAAATTCGAATCCAACACACCAAAATCACCCGAGTTGACACCGTTTACCCCATCATCCTAAGACCTGAAGCCAGAGTCGATTCCGATCGTTCGATCAGAGTCATTTTGATCATAATCCTCATTTCACATCAAATCCAAAATCTGAGACCATAGGTACGTAGAGCCCAAAAATCAAAATCCAACGACACCAAGATCACCCGAGTTTTACATTGTTTACCCCTTCATCTCAAGACTCGAAGTCAAAACCGATTTCGATTGTCYAATCGGGATCATCTGTGATCCTAAATCCTAAACCCTAAACCCCAGAAAATCTGAAATCCAACCTTGTAGATGGATAGAGCTTGAAATCCCGAGTCCAATGGTACCAAGTTGTCCAATTCCGACACCGTTAGCCCCTCCATCTTGAGACTCAAAGCTAGACTCGATCCGGTCCCTCCGTTTAGAATCATCTTTATAATAACTTCAAACTTAAGGCATTCCATGACTAAAACTTYCCCTCAGCCTCTAGAAACATCTTAAAAATCTAAGATTTGACCAGCTATAGCTTCCAAACAATCAAGCCAATCACCTAAACTTGGAATGTCGTCCAATTTAGGTAAATTGGTGAAACTTTTCACTCTTTGTCTTGATTGGTTGAGAGAATCTCTTATAAAGCTGTCTTGACAGTCCATTCTCTCAATCAATCTCCTTCCAAAAACTATTTAAACATCAACCATTTGATCTCCCTAATCTCCCATCTCATCCCTCCATTCTCCTCTCAAAAAATCTATAAATACCACCAATTTCTCACATCCAAGACACACAAGAAAGCCTAGAACAATCACTCTATACTTACTAGTATAGAGAATAATTCCTTCACGTCCAAGAACTCTCCCATTCACATTCCCCACTTCCTTCTGTCCCACCATGTCAATCTTAAGTCTTAAGAACCCTCAAGGTCAAGCCACATTAATGAATAAAGCTGAAGCATTCTTGAAGTCTAAAGTTGTTGCAGAAATGTTGAAGACGCCCAACAATGTTTATTGGGCTACATGAACAACACTTTCTCATTCCTCGGGCCAAACATATCTGTTGCTAAATGCATTTCTCTTGCCTTTGGATAGATGTATTCAAGGTGAGTTCACGATCTTGAGTTCATTCGTTTGATATGCTCATTGTTGCTAGTAATTGTTAAGGGTTTATTTTACCGGCTTGATCGAGTAGTCATATGTTTCTTTCAAAGCTTTCTGCAACATCTTTGTTATTGGTTTGATCGATGATATATTGTTTTCACTAGTAGCTATTTATTTTTTTAGTGATAATCAAATTTCTAAATGGTCATTAGTTCACGTAACCAAGGCTGCTTAGTTTTCATGGTTAGCCTACGGTTGATTTTCAAGTCTGTAGCACAAGTTTTACCATTGTGATTATTATTATATTCAAGTAGAGGTGTAAATCGGGCTGGGCCACCCACGGCCCGGCACGGCTTGGCACGATTTTGGACTGGTCCGGCCCGGCATAGCACGACGGCTAACGGGCCGTGCTGTGCAGTGCTGGGTTGGGGGTTCGAGGCCCATGGGCCGGCATGGCACGGCACGAAGCATGGCCTGTGCTTGGCCCACCCGGGGCCCAATGGCTAGTTTCAACTTTTGGGGGGGG